CAAAGTATTTCTTTTTTGAATGTCTGACTTCTATCAATTTATTGAGATTATGGACCACACTGCTCAAATGATGCTGACAGGTACAGAAGACCAACTTCTGAAATGCACTGAGATGCAAAGAGTAACAGCATTAGATTCTACACAGAACAGACAACAGATGTGTACGGAAGATTTTATCCTGCTTATGTAGCAAATGTACAAGATCTATACACTACTTCTGTGCTTTTACTTACTTCAAATAAAGATGCCAGCTTCGGTAAGACTTACATAGGATTCTCTTTCACAAATCAGGTACAATTTCTTAATGAAAGCTCCTACTCATATTTACCACAAGAATAAGCCTATCTAGTATGTTACTATCACTCATAAAACTTGTTCATAAAACTGATTCACTTACCAATCACTTAATTAATAAAACAGGTGAAGTAGAGTAAATTACAAGGATTCAGTATTACAACTAAATAACATGACACTAACAATTAAGAGTTACTGTTCATGTTAAATGTAGTTATCATATCTGAAATAAATTCACATATTATAAATGCAGCTGCTTAAGGAAGCACAGACCTGCAGTCCTTGCACTGGATAGGGAGATCAGGAGTTCGATGTTATGATACCAGTCAGTTCTATGCCAACCTAGACTGCATAACTTTTGTCTCAAAATAAACAAAAATAAAAATGTCCCCAGATAATATTTCTTTAAAAGGCTTAGCATATAGCATATTAGCAGAAAACAGTTAACAGAAAGTCATGTTCTATCACTCTTTCAACTACAAATTTCCTGGGCAAATTACTTTATACAGTATCAATCAACTTTCAAGAAGTATTGTATATGAGCAACATAATCCTCTGAAACTAGAAAGCAGTAACGCTTTCATGTGTGAGATTATCATGTCTTAGAAAGATAAATCAATAGCCTGTTCATTTTCAGTTCATTTTGGCTCAAAAAAAACAGAAGTAGGGGGAACAAGACCTTCTGGCAGCAAAAAATGTGAATTCTTTCTTTTATTTCAATAGTCCCAAGTTTTTGTTTCCTGAACCACTGAAACTCTGAAGCATTATTTCTTGTGTGGTTTCAAGGGAAGTAAGACCTAGAAATACTAGAGAGGCATAACATATACTTGAACCTCTATCGAAAAGCAGTGTTTAAAAAAAAACCCACTATTTCATTTGTAGATAGTCCTAATACTAATCTTTCCAAATTACTATCCAGTTAGTTTACTTGTTCTAGACAATTGAATTCAAGGAACTATAGCTAGTATTTTGTAATTAAATGAAAACATGAGAAGAAATTTGATGTATATTTATCAATAAGTCATTTTGTTAAGAAGGAATAAAGCACCTTTAAGTATTTCAAATACCTCATGCTTGGAAAAAGAAATTATGAGAAAAATAACAGTATTTCTATTTAATACAATTTTATTTCACATTTTTATTAGAAAGAATAAAAGTTCTGTCTGTGGCATCTTCTACTTTTATTAATAGTATGGAAAATACATACCTCCATAAAAGTGGGTGGGCAATTACAAAGTACATGTAACTATTCTTCTGAACAGATAGACCAGAACACCTGCCAATATATGTAGAATCCTGACCTGGGAGCCAGAGACTCCAGACTGATTCTGGCCCTAGGTGATTTAAGAAAACCATATTAAACCTTAACTCTTTAATTTCCTTGTGTTAAAAAAAATGCAGTAGCTGATCTCAGGCAGAGGACTATTCTGGTTTATAACAGCTATGACTCCATTATCGGAAGTTAGAATGGTAATCACTCTCCCAAAACTAGTACTAACAAGCCAAATACCAGAGTAAATCTATTTTATTTTACACATACCACACATGTATGCATACTATAAATCAGACATTGAATGACTGGCTGGAACCAAGACATGAATGAACACATGTGCTTGGATTGTATCTCCAGCCAACTCCCCAAAAAAGGTACCAACAGTAAGTCTTAACAATTGCAGCTAAGGGCTAAGGGATGTCTCATCTACAGAACTGACTTAAGACTGGAAGGGCATAGAGAATCTAGGTTCAATTCCCAGAACCCTCACAGCAACTAACTACTATCTGTAATCCTAGTCATAGCAGACCAAACACCTTCTGGCCTCCACAGGCTCTTCACACATGTGGTGCAGTCATGCATGCAGGCAAAATTCTCATAAAATAAAATCTCAAAGAAAAAATAATGAGAGAGGCAGACAGAAACACAGGGACACATTTCAACCCAAACATGGTGGTACAGGGCTGTAATCTAGCTACTATGGAAGATGAGACAGGTGGACTCCCAGCTCAAGGTCTGCCTGGGCTAGAGTGAGTCTAAGGCAGTCTGGCCAACCTAATGAGGCCTGTGTCAAAAAAAACACAAAAAGGACAAGGACTGGCATGTGAGAGGACCTAGGTTCAATCCCTAGTCCAACTAAACAAATCCTCCTAAAACTACTCATTTTCAATGAAATTAGCTTTGATCTTAGGACTTCTCAGTGTCCCTAACTATGAGATACATTTCTATTTAAGGTGTGTGTGTGTGTGTGTGTGTGTAGGGGTAGGGGGTGGGGGTGTCTTTTTCTTTATGTAAACTACCCAGTGTTTGATAATATAGCAGGCTGAATAATAGGCTTAAGGCATCTGGAAAGATACTCTCTGATTAAACAATAGAAATCCTTGCACTTAAAGACTGAACTCACAATGAAAAAGAAAACAAGCAATAGAACAAATAATGGGCTACAGACCAATATATACAAGATAATTCAGAAAAACTGGGTATGATGTCTTCTAAGGTAAAATTGAAAGGCACACTGTACAGTCTTTAATACTCACATCTGGGATACCTTCACCATCCTGTTTATAAATAAAACCATAGCTCAGCAAAAATGAAATCAAGCTCTAATTACAAAACTATTTCCAGGCTGCATGGTGCTGGCACCCGGCTTTATCCCAGAGGCAGAGGCAAGGAGATCTCTGTAAGTTCAAGGCCAGGCTGGTCAACAGAGCTAGTTCCAGGACAGCCAGGGATATATAGAGAAACTCTGTCTGGAAACCACCACAACCACCACCCTACCCCACCCCACCCCACCCCACCACCACCCCATGCCAAAACAAAACAAAACAAAACAAACAAACAAAAAAAAAAAAAAACACAAAGCTATTTCCACTACACATTTTATCACATCTCTATCATTAACTTTTTTTGAGACATGCTCTCACCTCTTATCCTAGGCTAGCCTTGACCTTGCCACAATCCTGCCTCAGCCTTTCAATCGTTGAGTTTACAGATATAAGGCACCATGCCTGGCTTAACACTGTCTTTATATTTATCAGTGAGGAAAAAAACTGTCAAAACCATCCAAAATTCTATTATCCTAAACCCTTATGAAGAGAATTATCAAAGACGTTTTAAAGACTATTTTTATATGGCCCTCTGTCACATGCTTTCTGTACTTGAAAGTACTTAAAAGACCACTTCTGAAAACTCATCTCCATTTTTAAAAATCAGAAAACTGATATTTTAATAGCTACATATGCACTTAATATATAGATCAATTTAACAGTAATTTTATCATTAATAACAAAGATAAACCTAAATAGAATAAATTATAGGAATATACCAATAGTCATTTAAGTTTTCTTTTTAAAGGTATCTGCAATAATCATTTTAAGCTCTTGAGCAGAAAAAAATTAGCTATGGTTAATTTAGAGGACAAATGTTCACAAAATTGAGAGAAACATTATTACAGCAATTATTTGACAGAAGACAGAGATTGGCATAAATGTATAAAAAAATACAATTGACTTTAACGTTACATGCCAGAAGCATTATAGATACCCAATGAATGCTGTTAAAAGGACTAATCAAATGGGATGAATTTTAGACTCTGGTAAAAATTACATTTAAAGACATAAAATCAGACAGTAGCCAGTCCTGCTGGCCTACACCTTTTAATCCCAGCACCCTCAAGTCAGAGCCATGAGGAGAGTTCCAGATCATCCAGAGCTACACCATAAGATCCTTTCTCAAAAAAATAAAATAAAATAAAAGGTGCTGAGGGATAAAAACCGAAGCCACCTACAAAATCTGCTTGCAAGATATTCTAACCCCATAAAGTTAAACTCCTCAGATATGGGGGCAATGTCCAAAGGCGTATGTGTATACTAATACTACTCTACACACCAATGCAAGTTAAATATTGACACAAGTCTTTCATAGCTTACATTCTGATTTTGAAAACAAAGCTACAAGTCATCTCTTTTTATTATGTAGGGTATCTCTTATTTAAAAAAATACAGATTGCAAATTATTTGTTGAAGCTCTCATTTTTGTTACAGATTTTGATGCATGGGCTTTTTTGTAATGCTAAGTATTTAAGGACTTACAGTCATCCTTAAAGGCTTATCAGCAAAATAGATGTGGTAGTCATTTCCTTAAAAATGCAGTAAGCAGATTAGCTTTAAATGGAGAATCTAATACCAAAGAAATTGCTATCATACATACCAAGACAAAAAAATTCTTTTTAACCTCTACTAAATTCTAAATTTACCTGAATTGCCAAAGCTATCTTAAGAGTAGTCACTAATCTGAGCTGTGAGAAAAACACTTCTCATGTCCCTTTTCCCATTTATTCAACAAGATTTACTGGGTAGCGACATGACTTTGGTATGTAGCTTTTTAACAGCTGTATTTCTTAAACTTTAGGTCATCTTTATTTCAAGCGCATTTTCCTCTCCAAAACATTCTGACATAATCTGCTACTCTCCCAAAATCATAGGTTATACCCATAGTCCTTCACGATTGAAGATAATCGTGGATCATACATTCAATATACTATTTAGTTTACATTTGCAACAGCACACTAGCTACTTAATACAATCCCAAAGAGATTTTGTACTGTTCTATTTTAGCATGCTCATAAGTCATTTTTTAAAAAAATGACATAAAATTGTCTTTCGAGGATTCTAAGTCTGAAAAGTCTGATTAAAATTATATTTTCTATTTTTAGGGCTAAACCATTTAGTACGTTCAATTCTGATTCTTCCAACAAAAAGCCTCCGCATCAAGACGGGGAAAACGTCCTTTTCATTTTCTCAACTGAAAAGGGGGAGGGGAGAGGAGGAGGTGGAGGCCAACTGCTTACAGGTTTGCATTTAAATTTAACAGCAGTTTCTGAGGAATCCAGTAACTAACTCACGTTCAACTACTGAATTCTATCAGAAGCAGCACACGGAGAAACTGAGAGCGCAATCCTTGGGCTTGATGTGCGGCTTCATCCGTCTTTCCTTTCCAAGATCCACCCCCAATACCCCAACCCGTTAAGCACACGTCTAAATATGTCTTCCCACCCAGAGCGCCCCTTTGGAGGAAAAGGCCTGCCCTTCGCAGCCTGAAGCCACGGCAGGCTCTCCGATCCCTGCTTCGATGAGGCCCCAATTTCGATGCCCTGCACGTCCGCCCCACCCCGGGCCCACACGGGTACCCGCGGGCGACAAAACCCTCCCTCCAGCGCTCAGCCAGCACTGACAGTTAAGGCTGCAGCAGCCGCAGCCACCAGGGCCTACTCCTGGCACCGGCCCCTCCAGACCACGCGCCCCAAGCACTCGCTCACGGAGGCGGGTGAGGGCCCGGGCGCCTACCCTGCCTGAGCCGCCCAGAGGGTGACGAGAGGGCCGGCGGTACAGATCAGAGGGAGCGCGCCGGGCAGGCCGCGGCCGCAGCAGCACTGACCTGTCCTCGCCCCCGCGCCTGGGCTGCGGCCGCCTCACTGGTCCTAGTTGCCCTCGTCTGCCGCCGCCGCCCGCCACCGCCTCGTTCCCTTTCGCTGGCGCCACCGCCGAAGCTCATGCGGGACCCACGCTACTCCTCAGGAAACCGAGGCCGGGAGGCCAGGCGCCCGGGCAACGCTGGAGTCGGCGCGCTGGTCCGCTGCTGCCGCGGTCTGTCCACAGTGGGGTGCGAGGGAGGCGAGCAACTCCGAGGAGAAGCAGAAGGAGGCGCCACCGTCCGCGACAGGTAGACAGAGGAGAGGCGTGAGGAGGCGGTGGACGGCTGCGTGGCCGGGTGCGCGAGCGAGCGCAGGAGGGGGCAGCGAGGTGCGGGCGAAGACGCAAGGCCCTGTCGTCTCCTGTAGTCACCCCCAGAGGAGCGCCACCATCTTGGGAGAAACACACGGGTCTCGCGAACGCAGCGCAGGACGGGAGGACTGGGTGGGCGGGCCGAGTATCCCGACAGGCAGCGCGCGCCGCCCTGCAGGGCGAGGGCTCCGAGAGGAGAGGCGGGATGCGAGGCGAGGTCGCGCGTGCGTGGGAGGGCGGCAGGCAGCTGCCCCGCCCCGCTCGCAGCTCCGCGAGGCCCTCCCCACCCACCCCCCCCGCCCAGTTCGGCTTCGCTAGCGGCGCGGGGACCGGTGGGAAGGGGAGATGGCCTTGGGCTCCGTGGAAGCCAGCCAGGCGCTGTCGCCATCTTGAGACAGGGCTGGGAGAGGCTTGGTGCTTTCAGGCCGTGCTCCTTTCATCCAGCCCCCTGTTCTTCAGTGTGCTCAGGGGGAGCGGCCCGGGCTAGCCTGCCGAGGACAGCCTCAGGGTCAGTTAGGCGGACTAATGGGTTGCGAGAGTCGGCCGAGGCGGTGTACCCAGGCCGAGGCTCGAGGCGGAGCTCAAGTGTTCAGTTGCTAGGGCTGACCCCTAGGGCTTTTCACCCGAGCTGCCCTGGTAAACGTTGCAAGGGTTGCTGAGAGTGGACAAGCTTTCAGCACACGAGGTCATCAGCTCAGGCCTCTGCCAGCACAGGCTATGTCCCAGGTTTACCAGACGAGAAGATAAAAGCCTAGGTCCTGCAGAGTCGTCTTCCAGTAGGCTGTCAACTGAGAGAAGTAACCGCCTGCTGAATCCCACATGGATGGCTAATTTTGATGTATATAACAGCTGAACCATGTTAAAGCCATGGGTCTTGATGGTACCCGAGTGACCTTTTTACTTAACGGGTTTTGTTGTTGTTGTTAATGGCTTTGACACTTGCTACTAAATTATAAAGACTGGCTGACAAGTCATTTTCTGTTTTATAACATTGTGGATAAGCCTTAATCATATAGTACTCAAAATGTAACAATCACAAGGTAGCAATATATTTTTTCATTACTTAGAACTTACACAAATGTGTACATATATGTGTGTATACCCCAACTTCCCACTATAAACAGTTATTTATTAAAACTAAGCAAGAGGGTGAAAAAAGAATGTAAGCTATTCTGGGATAAATGATAATAAATGATATTGTTGTAATGTCAGGTTTTAAGATTCTTTAAAAATATCTACTCTTTTTTTTTTTTCATCTTGCCCTCCCATTACAGATCTTTATTTGGAAATTACCATTGTATTTTATGGAAAGGGCCAGTAACAAATATAACCTTTTAAGGATTTATCTTTGCAAATTATTAAAATATACAACCAAAAATTAAGACCATTAAACTATAAAGCATATTACTATTGCAGGATATGAAGATGTTTTCAGCAATTCTCGAATAAATAGAAGTTGTCTGAAAAAGAAAAGTAATTTTATAATAGTGAGAATTATGAAAATGTAGCCAAAACCCCAGAATTCTAAAAAACTTAAAAGTTTAAGTTAGGAGGTAGATGTCAAAATGACAATCCAGTTCTGTATGGAGATCACAGAGAATCCCAATTTCTCTTGGGAATCTGAAGAAATTATCTTTTTAGTTAACGTTAAATATGGTTTTGGGGTTTTGGTTTTTGTTGTTGTTTTGTTTTGTTTTGTTTTTTTGAGACAAGGCTTCTCTGTGTAGTTTTGGTGCCTGTTCTGGATCTCGATCTGTAGATTAGGCTAGCCTCGAACTTATACCCACAGAGATCCGCCTGGCACTGCCTCCTGAGTGCTGGGATTAAAGACTTGCACCACCACCACCAGGCTAAATATGTATTCTTATATTTGCCACTGATTTGAACTCATGTATTTTTGGATTATCATCTTTAAAATTTAGAAACATTTATAAACTGCTAGATGTGAAGGTGCTTGCCTGCAATCCCAGTACAGAGGAGGCTGAGGCCGACAAATCTGAAGTTCCCTGGCAGGCCTCACTATAAAGAAAGAGTATCTCAAAGGGGGCTGGAGAAAGCAATGTTTATGGTAAATATTATCGCCATGAATGATTCTTGACAACACAGTCACTTTTCATAAAAATTATTTCTTCCATAGCAGGCTTATATTGTTTTCATATACTTTTTCTAGAAAAAGCAACTTAGTATCTAGGTGAGCAATAAATTCTTTAGACTACTTTAGCCTAAATGAGACTCAACAGTTTCTAATATTTTCTTATTTCAAATGTAAAAGAACCATATAATTGTATAAGCAAATTAATTCATGCTTTGAACATACTTAGTGTCTACTATTTACCCAGAACTATCCAGGCCTTGTGAAACAATAAAAAAATAATCCCTGTACCTATCTTCCGTAAATCAATTCAAGAGAAAATCAGGCCTGTAAAAGTGGTAACAGTTTTAAGGCAATCCAATGATTGTGTGGTTAAGAGGGTGTTTGTAGCTCAAACCCACAGGCTGCCGCTAACTTGAGAGAGACGACTAGGAAGCTGTTTTTAGCTCCATTTTAGAATCTTTTTTATCATCCACAGCAGGTGTCCACTAATATTTATCTGCTATTCCTTCTGAACTAGAATAAAATCAACAAGAAAGGACATAAATCCCCAACAATCAAGAAAATGCTAGCCTATATTTTGGCATTGATGTCCTGATCACAAACATTTATTTTAATGATCACATATTTTTTATTCATAACATCAATGGTTTACCATGGGTCCTTTGAGCCTAAATGCTGAGAATAAGACCTACTTGACATAGCCCTACCTTCCTTACACACCTATCTTCCCATACCCCACATAAAACCATTGCTTAAGCAGTACTTAAGTATTTGATAGTCATTTAGAGCCCTTTTAAATATAATTTCTTCTTCCTTTAAGACAAGTCCAGGCATCTCTCTGGACAGCCTTTCTGATCTTCCCAGGGCTTTTTGCTTCTGCCTCTGCAGTATTTCCTTCTATCCTGTCACTTGTCATGCACTGCTGATAAGTAACTTGAACTTTCTCCCTCTATACTCCTTGAGAAAGAAGGGTGTTCTTGGCTTTTTCTCTTCCCTCATGTTAGCACCTACCTAAATGGCTAAACAAGGTAACTCCTCAAAAAAGGGAATGATCGAATCAGCCCTTGTGAATGTAAAAATGGTAAAAGAAGAAAGTTAAGAACTAAGACCAGTGTGTCTGACAGAATTCCCTAACAGAATGAAAGAATGTAATAAAGTAGTTGTTTGGGACATTAATCTACTCAAATTATGTAAAAGTATACAAAGTACTGAAGTGACCTGCTTATGCAATATAGTGGGGACAAAAAAGTCAGGTAATTTACTATAAGAAATCTGAATTCAAAAATTAAGTAATAATGGATAAATATTTTAGAGCATTAGTGTGTGCTGTATCAAATTGAGGTTTCAACTATGATAGTTTACAAAGTTCTCTTAAATTTATGACTCATTCAGCACTAATTCTACTAATTATACAAATAGCTAAGAATGCATAAGAAGTTTTGAAGGTCACAATAAGACAGCTCATTGAAGTAAAGGCACTTGCTAACAACCCTGGAGACCTGAGTTCAATCCCTGGAATCCACATGATAAAGGAGAGAACCCAATTCCACAAGTGACAGTGATGCACAGATATGCCATGGCATGAATGCTTGTATGTATACACACATAAATACGAATAAAAAATGAGCAACCAGGTGTGGTGGTGGATGCCTTTAATCCCAGCACTCGGGAGGCAGAGGCAGGCGAATCTCTGAGTTCGAAACCAGCCTTGTCAACATAGCAAGTTCCAGGACAGCAAGGACTACAAAGAGAAACTGTGTCTCAAAAAAAAAAGAAAGAAAGAAAGAAAGAAAGAAAGAGAGAGAGAGAGAGAGAGAGAGAGAGAGAGAAAGAAAGAA